TCACTGTCGCCTGCTGCCAAAGCCACGTTCTCTCCATTGGCCTGGGTTTCACCCGATGTGGTTGCCTCGGCTACAGCAGAACACGGCAGAAGGCATCAGAAGACAGCAAATACACAGAACAGGACATGTTATTTTTTCTAGGTCCCAGCCGCCCATCAGTTCACAATCAATGCACGACATCAGACACCAAAGATAGGGAGGCAGCAGCAGCAACAGCAGCAACAGCAGCAGCAGCAGCAGCAGCAGCAGCAGCAGCTACCCGCAGCTCTTTTAAAACGGTGCCTGAGATCGACCGGAGAGCTCATAAGTGGCTTGTGCAACGCTGTACATGCACCGTGCATCCATGATTAGCGCTTTCAAGCCGCAAGTACTATGATCCCATCAGGGCATACAGGTTGCACACAGCACCATGCGACCTGGGGTGGAGGTGAATTCACAAGTGACCTTGAACGAATCCTCAGCGGCTACGAAGACCGGCAGACCTAGCAACATTCCATCCCCGGGGAAGTTCCAGGGAGGCTCACCTGCTGTAGGAGAGGTCACTGGTAGCGTGGCGCCTACAAAAAGCAGCAAAGCAACAGCAACGGCAACACCATCATCATCATCATCATCATTGAGAGGCTTTGAATCGTTTTTATCAAAATCTAAATATTTGTCGGGTTGGAAGGTGGGAGTCAAAGCTAACCTTGATCAAAGCTAACAATGGTGGTAAATACTTGCCGCCGACAAAGGTGACAAGCAGCAATTCGTTATTGAGGATATGATGCCTCCATGAGAAAAGAAGTTTCCAACGATCCTTGGTCTGTCACGGGTTAACCTTGCGAATAACGACCCTCGATCGGCCAGAAAAGTGAGTTTTCGTTATTCGCGAGGCTAAAAGTATGCGGTCAAATGGTTAATTGGTTGCTTGGTCTGATGATGATGATTTTTGTTTATTTAGAGTCGAAGAACAAACAGGCAAATTTGCCTAATTACATGATATCGACTAGTGTTGCTATTCGCAAGTTATAATATCCAAGGTTGCTATATCCGGGGTTGTTATCTAACATACTCATAATCAGTAATCAACACACATTCACATTCACAAGGCCACTGAAGAACCCCCCCCCTAAACACAGTGCACTGCACAAGCGCCTGGGTATGGATGTGTTGATCACCGCAGATCTCACTCATCCCAGCGTACCGTCACGTGCATCACTCCTACATTCCACATTCGGCAATGCACAGTGCATTTGTACTGTGCCAGTTCAGAGTTATTACTGTATTAGTTAGCAGGACTATGCAGCTGATCAGGATAACAGTTAGCACTAGAGGGTACGGGTAGAGAGTTTACCTGGGCATGCTCGAATGGCACACTGCTTCACCTCCCTCAAGCTGCCCTTGCAGTAGTCACCGAGGCACGCTCGACTACGATACGTCTGGCCAACGCCGCATGACACTGAGCAAGTTTCCCACTTGCTCCACTCGGCCCAGTCGCTACCCTCTGCAGAGCACGGCATGAGACAAACGCAGGACATGCTAGATGAGAGGGAATGGAACAGCACTGCTACTGACGTGATGGAACGCTAACTAGCAGTACCATGGCTCGGGGCGGCATTCGTGGCATTTGCGCCCATCAAGGCTATCGTATGATGAATCCATAGCCATTGTTGACCCCATGTCTTTTTCGTTCCTAGCAGAATTTTTAGTTTTTCCAGGGCACTATGTATATTCGGGTCTGAAGTTCTTCATTGCCAACCCAACTTTCGTCACGCATGTGTTCGTGTCTTAAATGTATGGGCAAAGCCAGCAAAAGCAAGAAAACTCTCAGACAGAACATCACTATTGACAACGGGCAGCGTGTTCCTTAGCCGGCTAACAATACTGTACAACACCATGCCAAATGTCATGTAGCATGCAGGGAACCCAAAACAGAACAAAGACAGACCATCTTGCGGGTATAGCGGCATTCAAAGAAATGACTGAACTTTGCCAGGTGACACTCGACTGGTGCCAAAGCCGCTCTACTGTACTACAGTACACAAAGGTCAAAGGTCAGAGTGAATCGAATACCCCCAGCTCTACTGTACAGTACACAAAGGTCAAAGGTCAAAGGTCAGAGTGAATCGAATACCCGGCCCAGCTTACCACAGTCCATCTGCCGGCATTCCTGCACTTGCAGCCAGTGACCGTTGCACACACCCTGGCCGCAGTCGCGCGTCCGTATGGAGTTGCCCACGCCGCACGACACGGAGCACTGCGACCAAAGCCCCCACTTCTGCCATGGGCCATCCTCTGTAGAAGTACACAAAAAAAGAGAAGCCAGGAAAGCACATGCTTACACAATGCACTGCATGTAATGTAATAATTTGTGAGGACATTGAAGCTCCGAGGTAGCCTCGTCATCCTTCCACTAAACCTCCAACCTGTACGTGCTACATGAACAGACCTCGCCTACACCACACACAACGATTGTTTCAAAATGTTCACCCAGGAGGGCATCATCAGGGTGATGATTTGTTTTCACCCAGGAAGGCATCATCAGGGTGATGATGCAATGATGCCCTCCTCCTGGGTGAAAACAAATCGTTATGCATGGTGTAGCCGGGGACTGTTAAGAAATGTGGTACGGGTTGTATGTAGTGTATTGCAGATAATTATACCTTCTCATGCCATGAGCTCGGTCTTGGACCCCTTGGAGGCGGGTCGGATCTTTGTGGAACCCCTATTGGAAAAAAAGGAATTTATTCAATCATGAACTAGAAATGTATCTGTCCCGGCCAAAGCACTTTCCCACAGTTCCGACTACACTCTATGCATGGCCGGCCAACACAGCATCAGCCGGGAACAGCTACTGAACATGACTGTTATCCCTATCATTATGTATATCATCGGTCTGCAGCGAAATGTCGGGGTGCTCTCTAAAACAGAGCTGTTCAGGGTGTGATTCAGCTAGACACGGTGCATCACTGAGACGCCAAAAATATATTATTGTACAGGCTACTATGCCCATCTCTAAAGCCATGTGCCTTACCACACTCTCCCGCATTGCATGTCCTCACTTCCCTGGTGCCAGCACACGGCGACGACAGGCACGTGCGTGTGCGGACGGACTCTCCTCTTCCACACGTGGCAGAGCAGCGTGACCACCCGGACCATTCAGTATCTGATGATGAGAGACATAGGCGGCAGACAACACCAGTGTTTTCTCAAGATTCTCAAAACCATAGTGCCCCTGGATGTCGTTTATCAACTGGGGTGTTCGTACGTGTTGCTTTCTTTGTTTTACTTGAGCCAGAGGAACAGGTATTGCAGCCTTCTTGCTGTGTTCGCAAGTTGTATTATTTCTACTACAGTTTGTTAACATAGCATGTGTTGCGCCTGCGACTCAGATTTGACTGTTGTTGTTTCACCTGACCACGAAACCTACTTGCACTTATGTCTGATGAGCCTGTGATCATTGGTGAGAGCACATATTGATGCAAGTAGAGAGTGTAGGTTAGTCTGCAAGGGGACATAATGCTTCTCACCCAGGCAAAACTGTGCTTGATTACTGCCAATCTGAGTAAAAATATACAAATCATCGACCTATGCCAATTGCGATTAAAAATCAAGTCACTGTATAATCATATGCACGCTGCATGCTGCATGTATGTGGACCTACGGGTTTCACATGGAGGACCTCTGCAGCTGCCCACTTCACGAGCAAATCCACTGCATTGGCCAGTCTGCGGGCAGGACCTGGCACGCAATCTCTGCCCGGCGCCACATGTTCTTGAGCATGCGCCCCATGGTGACCATGGCCTCCACGTCAGCGTGGCCGCTGTGCCTAGAGAGCAAGCAGACATAATTGACTCTCAATAGCATAAGCTCCACTCCTACTTGAGGAAATATTTGAAAGATCAGACCACTACAGGACTACCCTCACTAGTATCAACTGGACTGGCTACAGACATAACATTCCATCGACAACAATCCCGGGAGTCTCAACATATTTGTTTCTAACGAGTAGTGTCTGCTATCAGGACTGATAAGCAACCACTATACTGTACACGTTTTGTCAGGGGATTTGTGGACTGTTGTCAACTTATGAGGTTTGTCTTGTTACCAATGTTGTACTTACGACGGTAGACATGTATAGAACTAAAGAAATCAGGCCCGTCGCACCGACTTTGGAGGTGGGGCGGCCATGGAAGGGGGGGGGGGGTCCGGGGGCAGTCCCCCGTGAAAACATTTCAAAAATTGAAGCCAATTGCAAGCATTTCCGGGCATTTGGTGCCATTTCAGTGTACGGTAACTACAATGAAAGACTTTTTGATTCTGCAACAAGCCAAGAAGACGCTACGATCGGGGACAAACATTACCCTCCCCTTGGGAAAAATTCAAGTTGAAGCCAATTGCAAGCATTTCCACTTGAGGCATTTAGTGCCATTTCAGTGTAACTGCAATGAAAGACTTTTTTGATTCTGCAACAAACCACGACCGGGGACAAGGATTTGTCACGTTTGCGCTAAGCTGCGATCATTGCGCTTTGTTGCAATGTGCTCCAAAACAAAACAAAAACAAACAAAAAACGCCGAAAAAGTGGGGCGGCCTCAGCTGCCCCAGCCGCCCCGGCTGTGACGGCCTTGGAAATAAACACCATGCTGCTACTGATTGCAAGTGGTGGTGGTGGTGATCTTGAAAGTGACTTTCCACTGTAAGAAGGGGTGCGCATCTTCTACCCAGTGTGGTCCACATGAATGAGACATGGCTAGGTTGAGCGCACATGTAGCTTGCGTGGAGATGTGGACCTGGCCATTGAGGATACAAGACAGTGCTCACCTGAACAAGCGCGAGGCGTGCAGGATTCGCGCTGTCTATCGTTGCCTGGACATGTTGTCGACGGATCGGTGCCCCGGCACGTACGTGAACGCTCCTTCCTGCCAGAGCCACATGAACCGGCACACTCTGACCATCTCGACCACTGCGTCCATGATTTCGCTGTAGTAGACGAAAAGAAGAAGACATTTCCCCCGCATAGACAATAACAATTATATCAATAACAGCAACACAAGGGTGAAACAACCTCGGCGCTACCCGTACGGCACCGCTCCTTCAATCAGGAATTAACTCGTAACAACAGGTCTGCATGCACACTAACTTACACCAACAATTGTGATATTACAGCAGTAACTGTACTGATTGAAGATCAGCACACACACACACACACAGAGGATCTGGAGCAGAGCTCTCAGACTAGAGCAGGACACACACACACAGAGGATCTGGAGCAGAGCTCTCAGACTAGAGCAGGACACGCAAGTACAGGATCTGGAGCAGAGCTCTCAGACTAGAGCAGGACACGCAAGTACAGGATCTGGAGCAGAGCTCTCAGACTAGAGCAGGACACGCAAGTACAGGATCTGGAGCAGAGCTCTCAGACTAGAGCAGGACAGATTGGTATACATCCAAGAGGTGGAATGTGTAAAAAAAAAACATTTCCAAAAAAACCCGATTATGGTGTATCTTAGAAGTTGCGACTTCGGCGGTAATAGTCATGAAGTGGATTGTTCCAACTAGGAACACACGCTTCTTGCCGAACTTGACACTTGACTGACTCACGACTGCGTCTCTGTAAGTTTGTATCCCTGGTGATGGTTTGGCCTGGAGAGCAGTATATAAGTGGTGCTTTTCAGGCACAATCTTCCTCAGCCTACTCAAGCTCAACTGATGAGGGGTGAATTCCCCGAAACACCGTGTATTGAGCAGGGAGTGGTGCTTTCTTGCAGGTTTGCCGAGTGGAAGGTGCGACGTGCTCCTCGTGTGCTCCGGATGGCAGTCGTGAGTCAGTCAAGTGTCAAGTTCGGCAAGAAGCGTGTGTTCCTGGTTGGAACAATCAACTTTATTGTGTATCTTACGGATTAATGTGCTGCATACTCCGGAGTAGCACTCGCGCCGCTCTTCACGGCGACCCGGGCACTGCACAAGGGCGCCGCGCGGACAACTGCGCGTACGCCGCTGCTCGCCTCCTCTACCGCACGTCAAGGAACACGACGTCCAGCCGGACCAGCTGCTCCATTCTCCCGTGCCTGGACACAATCAGATGGCAGCGAGAGTTACTTAAAACTCACGTGTGCTTTTACAACGGGCAAACTCCACAGTCCTAAAACTTCTCCTGTGAACACACATCTTTCTACATGTAAAGGTGTCAGACAGTCTGGTACTGTGTCCGCACCTTACAGTCAGCCGATCTGGCCAGATAACTGGAGCAGGTTGAGCCAGTGGCATGCATGGGTAGCGTGCTTGTCCGACCTCCTTGGCCATTTCACACAAGACAAGTTCATCCTCTCCGAGCAGCATGGAAGCATTGCACATCATTAGTGTCAATGCATTTTACCCTACGCGCACACTTGGAAGGCAAGAATAGACGTACATGCATGTTTCAGGGGATGGAGACAACACCACCCTTTTTCTTCTTCTACTACAACCGCCAAAGTGGCAACAACATCTTAGTCAGTTGACTCTCCAGCTCATATGTGGTGCTCAATCAAATCTCCATTCAAGATCCCTGGTTGTGCAGTTAATCCAACAAGTAATTTCTAATTGGGCTCTTACATATTGACATCTACTTACAAGGTGGTTCGCTGCATCGCTTTGCTTTCGTAGTTGGCTCAGAGCCACACTGACCCTCGCCCGCCGAACAAGTGCGTGTACTCTCCACTATGCACTCCGCGGTGCAGGATCCCCACGCCGACCACCTGCTCCAGGTTGCTTCTAATCAGAGGAAAGCACAATGCCAGTGGACGCACAGAATGCACGATTGTACACATGCACATATCCGCCGGATGGGTACACGACGTGGCCCACGCAACGTAGGGATCCACGAATACAAAACCAGCGCAGCATGCATGCACACAATAAACTATACACTGCCAGCCATTGTAATGGATTCAAGGAGGGGGAGGGGGGGGGGGGCGTGATACAAAACATAGCATGGATGCGCATGGTCCCCGTACCATGGCAAAAGATTTTAAAATCTTGTCCACGATTTTGCCACAATTCTCATGAACTGGCACCCTGATCGGCATTCACATCATTCACTCCCCATCCATACGTGACTACCACACATTCGGCATTCACATCATTCACTCCCCATCCATACGTGACATCCATACGTGACTAGCACAGACTAACACACATTTCAGCTCAGTCTCATGACTAGACAACATTTTTGTTTGTATTTATCAAATGTCGATTATTGTAATAACCACGGAAGCAGGTGCATACAGCCACACACAACTCTCTAATCACCACCCAGTGGCTCACAGAGACGTTAGGTGGCAGTTGTAGACAGTAACTTACGCCTGCTTTGACAAGGTATGCATGCATGTAAATGGAAAGGGGAAGTAAGGATTGCTGCCTGAGCTAAATAGTCCCAGCGGTTGCACATGTACCCATCGGAGAGGGCCTAGAGCAAATACAAAACATCAAGAGACTCGAGGCGCTCAGTTTATCGCTATCAGAGCAGGTGCGCTTACGCTGTCTCTGCGGACATGGTGCTCCGTTGCAGTTCTGCTTCATCTGGTCGTAGGCGTCGCAGGTTTCAGAGCGACAGCGGCGACTTGAGCGGGTGCCACCGCCACACGTGACCGTGCATGCTGTCCATGTAGACCATGGCTGCGGCTCTCTGGCCACCTCTGCAACAGGTAGTAGAATCCATACAGGAAATTACACTGTATTCGAACATAACGTGAACTAATCGTCATGGGACACCACAGGTATCGATTAACGGAGGTAATTTCACACACACGCACACACACATACAGATTAATCTTCCCACCAGGAAGTGGTGGCATACATGGAGACAACATTGACAACTGTAATGCTAAAAGATGTGGGTTCACTCCTGGGCTGCCCGTTTCGGAGCAGGGCCAATTTAAGCCGATCACGTAAAACGTCCAAACACAGGGTCGAAACACACATCGTCTCCGCCGTTTCGGGTACTACATGTATAATGTTGGTTTTGTTTGCCTCTACGCTACGACTCCCTGTTGCCTACCCTCAACTAGGCCGGGTAAAATCTTTTCCCCACTAGTCCGCATAGAAAATTGTGCCACATCTACGGCCATATGCAGCATCAATACACAGAACGGGTGATAGGGCTTGAAAGTGATGACGTCAAAAACGGCCAGGGAGTAGTAACTTCACATCAGATTTCTATCATTGGATCCACTTAGGCTATTGCCTCAGTGTGTGGGTGCATAGCAACCCACGCATGTCGTATGCAGGTGTGACTTTTTCTTCGCCACCAGCTGTCGCCCCACCCCATTAGCCAACCCAGTCAATTTCACTGGCTACATCACCTTGCTGTGAGTAGTAAGACCGCTTGAAATGTACTTGGATCCATACAAAAACTGGATCCAAGTGGATCCAGTTTTTGAATTTTTGAAATTGATGCTACGCTATGACGTAGCACTTTCAAGCCCTATTGCATGTCCACATGCTAGAGTGTCTGTCTATCTACACAACCGCACAGTGTAGGGTGCATGAATTGGAGGGGGGGGGTCGTTTCCACCACCTATACACGTATTATGTTTGCTGCTCAAAAACCCTTCACAGTTCAGCAACATGATCCTGGAAAGTGTACTCACCCCCTAAGCTTGCGTACCCGCTAAGTGTGTACACCGTGCCATACTGATCCACAACAATAAGGACTAGAGCAACAGATTAGGGCAGCTGTTGCTGCAGATTGGGAAGACTGATTGCCACTGACTGTGACGTCAAGGAAAAACCGACAGCATGAGCACCGTAGTCATTGGCAGTGTACTCACCACAGCGGCGCACGGTGCAGGCGCGCAGCTCCACGGCATTGCCTAGCAGGCACACGCCAAACAGACATCGGCGACTCCTCCGCTGCGACCCAGAACCGCAAGTCTTGGAACAAGCCGCCCAACTCGTCCATAAGCCCCATTCTCCAGCTGCATGCACACACAGAGGGAAGCACACAGAAGAGTTTATCGAGGATCTTGTATACAAACTATTATTTAGATTGGAAAATGTTTGATAGAGAAACGCCAACAACAATAGCAAATCAGGCATAGAAGATCGGTAGTCGTAGTGGCAAGATTTTTAAGTAGCTTGTCCGAAAAGCGGGTCGCCGTGTCACAGACAGCCACAGTATAAACTATGATGAGAGAAACGCAGACAACTCACGCGGCCCAGGATCAGCAATACTTACGCAGAGCTGCTCCTGCTGTTCGCTCTGTCAGTGGCTCTTGGCCTTCTGTCTGCTGAACAGAGCTAGTGGATTCAGTAGCATCTGTACAACCAGAACACAACACAAGGTCAAACACGCAAACTCGTGAAGCAAATAGTTGCATCGCAACACACAGGTCAGGTAAACTAAATTCAAGTTTGCACTGCGGCATCCCTATACCTGGCCAGACTGAACAAACGGATTGCATCAGCAAACAGTGCTGTAGGATAATACCGCACTAATTCACAATTTGGTCATAGGTCAAAACGGGCATTCCATGTGCTAAAGCACAGTCCTTCACACAGTAACTTAATAGCGAGACAGTATACTGCACTTTAACCGTATTTGCATTGCTCTGCCCCACAGGCCACGTATGGCGTTGTTCTTGAAATGCATCTGTACAAGTAAGATGTAGTACTGTACAAGTAAGATGTAGTCCTTGTGTGTAAAGAAACCACTGTAGTACTGTAGAGGCAGAAAAATTTCGTGGGTCAATAATTTCGTCCGACTCCAGAGAAAGGGAGTCCGTGCGGTTGTGAATTTCGTTCGTGGATCATGAGAGTATATTGAAAAGCTTGACAAATCGACATTAGTCCTACATTTAATTTAGTCCAAAGCTCCTTGGACGAAAAAGACGAAATTAAATTCCAGACGAATATTTCTGCTTATACAGTACTAAAGATTACCACCAGGTTTACAGTAACAATGGCTGCAGGGGGAGTAGGGCGAGGGGGTGTAGGCATGTCACTTTTTGGTGACATGCACTTCCATTATGCTGTCGACACTCATCAGTTTCCTCCTAAAGAATATGCCACTTTTATTCACCAATGGATCATTGACAATCTATGGATGCCGTCAAGTTGAAAATTCACAGGAATCATGGCCTGTTCACTGTGCTGAGTGGTGTTGAATGCTAAACTCAGTCTCAGTCTAAATGCGCATGCACACTAACTGAGTCTGTAGACAGCCGAGAGCATGCTGCTGCAACTAGGGTAGAGCATAATTATGAAAGACCCCCTCAAAGACCATCCAATTTGAATGACAAAGTGATAATGGGCCACCCGTTGGCATCATTAACTGGCATTGAACTGGCAAGATGATCATTATTCGGGAGGAGGAGGGTGGGGGGGGGGGGGGGGTACTAGTGGAACATGAGTCATAATTATACTGCTACCTCCAGCAGAAGCCAGCATAAGCAGTATCATTGGCTATTAGCTGTTGACTCAAGTTTTTATGATGCTGCCCCACTAAAAGAAAAATGCACCACAGATAGTGCTCGTCGCTGACATGCAGTTTAGGACGACTGAGACTGGAAGAAAGAGTCTGATAACATTGTCATTTTGTAGAATGTATTGCAAGGCGTTGGCCCACTTCTTGAGCACCCACTGCCAGTTTTCAGCCCTGATCAATGCTGAAAGGAGATCATGCTGTGACATGCTGGCCCATCAAGGCACTGGTGGTGCTTGGCATGGGGTATGATCCTTTCAGCTCCTGGACCACTACCAAGTCACACTGGCAGTAGCCAGTACATGTACTGCCAGGCTAGGCTGCAGGACCAGGTCATGCTGACAAAGTGCACTTGAAAGATGCCAGGAAATACCACAGCAACCATTCCAAATAATGACCCATGGTGCCTGAATTTTAACTGGGTGCAGCCAGCGTGTGATTCTCATAGACGTTAGCTAATAAAGTTTGTTCATAATTATTATTATGTTGTGCACACCATCAGTGAGCACACACTGCCAAGGTCAAATCCAGTGTTATGTAACAATGGGAGAGGGAACTAATGTTGTTACTTCAGGCCCTCTAGTATATATTCTAGTCTTTTAATACGCAGTGCTATGTCTATGCAATATGAGGCTATGATCTATACCACAGGCCAAATATTTTAGCTCAGTTAAACTTTTTTTTCTTGGATTATTTTTCATTCCGCGGCTCAAGCAAACCACGTTCATGTTCACCAAGCACAACCGCTGTTTCCAGCGCAAAAAAAGAGCAATGTTTTCATTCAAAACTAAGTTACTTACCACTAGTTGCAGTACTAGTGCCAACGGCCTCAGTTGGAGGTGCTGAGGTTCTGTCAGGAGAGGATAGTCGCTCCGTGTCCGCGTTTTCTTGCCCTCTTGCCCGGTGGGAAGCGCCAACCACAAGAGCAACAACCACTACTAGCAAGTAAACCAGATCGCCTCCGCAAGTGTATCGAGCCATGGCCGCGTGCTGCCAAACCTTCCGCGTATGTGATCGCTTGTCCTTTCAGAACTCATCAAAACATAAATTATTATAATCACCAGCGTTTCCTCGCCACTTTACAGCAGTCGTACTCCGTATATAACAAGCAGCAGAACGAGCCGTACGTCCGTCCAGAGCGAGATATCTCGACGACAGGAAAGTCAGTTATGTCTTGCTGCAGGTAGTCGAAGCAAACACGGTGGTCACCAGTCCAATACCGTTGGGATGCAGCTGCACTCACTGTTCAGTTGGGACTTGGAGTTGAGACGTGGGAGAGAGAGAGAAGAGAATGTTGGACTACGATAATTGATGAAGTGCTCAACGTGGAGCAGACCCCGAGTGATCGACCTCAACAACCGCACCTTGTCAAAACCCACGAGAGCCTCTCGCTTTCACAAGCTACAGACTGCGGGAGTCGGGTGATCCGTGGCAGGAGGAGGTAAACCTGTTCCGTCACTCTGCGAATCTGCCGCTAGCTCGTCACTGGGTAGGCTCTTGCCTGCTGCTGTCGGCGGTGGCTGTGTTCCGCTCAGAGCAGTGCTACAGCAGTGAACAGTCTGCAATGAAAGCAAAAATTGAAGCGTCTGGAAACTAACGTCTTTGTTGTGTGTCGCTTTGTCTCCAATAAATACTTACTGTCTTTCAAGCCAGGATTCGGCCTGCTTGCGCACCACGATGAATCGCTCGTTCCCTGCGTGCCTTGAATCATGTGAATGGCCGCAGCTCACTATGCCTGTGGCAGCAAGGTTGTAGAGTCAAGCAGCTTGTCGGTGACACTGACTAGCCAGAATGCTAACGAGTAACGGCTACAAAGTCTACAAGTCCGTGCACTAAGATTAGAACCAGTGCAGAAATAAAATTAATAAAATTGTCACAGCGGAAGGATGGCGTGAGATTTCTCCTGCTTTTTTGTTTCAGAGAACCAGCTAGCTAGGAGCAGAAACGCGGCTGCAAACAGTGGAAACAGCACTCACCGTAACCTCGGACGTCTTCCCTCACTCAGTTTCGCACAGTCAGTGTGCTGCTCGCCTATCCTGGCCAGGTGGAGATTCGT